GAACGTTGTCAATAAACTGAACAAAAACAAAAAATGCTTGCTTCAAAAGGGAAATAATAAAATGAAATACTGGCATTAGTTTTGATTGGAAAGGGTTTCCATAGTTTTCATAATATCACATAAATTAAAATATTCATCAAACACTGGTAGTGCCTTTCCCCCAAATGAAATGCTTCATTATCATTTCACGTCATTGAAGCGCTTCATTATAGTAAATGGTATAGAGTATAAACATAGGCACACAACACACAAACCCTTTCCAACTCAGCTCAGTCCAATATTTCTTGTGATCACTGTGCCACTGAGGAAAACAAGGAGGGTACAAACATGCCAAGGTAGATTCATTCTACTAGTGGCTTACTGAAAGGCAAATATAGCAACAACAAAAAAAATGTCCCAAAGAAGAGAAAAATATGAAAATGTAATTCAATTTGAGATGCCAACATGATGGAAAAACTTTCCCATGTCAGCTCTTTTTGGAACCATCAAATCGTTGTCCCAGCCCCTATACAGTGAACTCTGACCTTTGGCAAATACTGAGTAATTGCTTTTTAAAGCCGCTTTTGAATACACTAAAAAATCTACTGCCAGCCAACCCGGCCCTAAAAACTTGATTTTAAATATTATTTATTTCACTATAATGTTTAATATTTTTGAAAAACTGTAATCAGATTTAATCTTAATTAAAGGTCCAGTGTGTAACATTTAGGAGGATCGGTTGGCAGAAAAGAAATACAATATTCATAGATATGTTTTCATTAGTGTATAATCACCTGAATAAAACTATGTGACCTTTTTCCACCTTGCCCACTTCAAACCACTAAGAAGAGCATGAATAAAACTGCATAGCAACCATTCATGTAAAACAAACAAAGCTCATAGTAAGGTGCTTACAGAGTGGTTGCACAGCAGACATTCTGACTTGTCTTAGCAGAGAAATCAGTGGTGGATTGATATTAAGTGTCTCAGTAACAGTGACAGTGAACCTGCACACGGAACGGAGCAATTGTTCACCTGTCCTGCTATGACATGCCAAAATGTCTGCTACGCAACCATTGGAGAAAAAACTTTAACTAGCGACACACTTCAGTAAAGTGTATCTGCTGTGGTGTTAAAATGGACGAGTCCTTTATTTGCCCAAAAAGTCAATAAACTTTCTGATGTTTTTTTAGGGCATCAGGTTGAAGAATGTCTCCCCTCTGGAATTTTATAGTGTGTGGCATTTCATTGTAACACTTCTGACATTTGAGGGAAATTTTGCACACTTTTGCACACATGTTCCAAATGTCATTGTGTGGTCTATTCACAGCTGCATTTGCAGGTAAGTGATGATGTGATGAGAGTGGGATTTTCAGCTAAAACTGAGATGGAGAGAAAGCCTTCCCAAAGGCTGGCTTTACCTGCAGGCTATTGACTTTCCTGTGTAAGTGTGTATGTGTGTGTGTGTAGGTGTGTGTGTGTGTGAGGGGAGGGTTCATCCAAGTGTGTTAATCCATTCTTCCTGGTTGCTGTCGCTGGCCCTCCTTCATGCTTCTCACCTCACATCATCACCATTCTCCTCCTTCTCCACCCCCTGGTAACCCGACCCTGCACCCACAGCTCATCCAATCCCTTGGTCTGTCTTCAAAGGGCTTCACGGTTTTGCGAGCAATCAGGACACACACGTCCCACATGTGCATAGCCACACACAGTCGCAGGGATACTCGTTGCCTTTTGAATCTGCCCATATTTTGCAGGCTGGAACCTTTAGAGGGCAGCAGAGTTTCACTCAGAGTGAATTGTTAGACATGCATGCAGTTTTGAACAGTGCATCTCTGATGGGTTGGCTAACCAAACACCCTCTTTCTCTTCTTCCCTTCTTCTTGCATACCTCCCTTTCTCTCCTTCCCCTCCCCTTGGGTCCGTGCTGTTTTTCCTTTCAGCCCACTCACCCCCTCTGTCCCAGTTGCAGAGTGACTTGGAGATTGACAGATCTGCTATATCTGGTTACAGGCTGTAATTAAAACTAATTTGGCTTGCTGATGGCATTTTCCACCCCCCTTCATCCGTTGCAATTAGTCAGTATTAGTTGACCTGACGTCTTGTATCAGATTGGGTTATTGAATGAAAAAGAAATAAATAGGCAGATGTAGTGGTTGAACCACCCTAGGGTGACAGCCAGTTGCCAGACAGATTGAAATGAGAGTGTGAGAAAAGTCTCTCTCCTTGTCTCTCTCACACATGCACACACACGCTAAGACTTTGTCCATTGATTCCTCTAGTTTTGCCCCCAGACAGTTTTTCAGAAATAGCTGAACAGAAGTTAAACACATTCTATAAAGAAACAGTATGCACATATGCGTACAACACACACATACACAGTTGACTCTGTTACAGAGTTCATTGATCAGGTAAATAGTCGGAGGCCCAGAGGTGATGATCACTCACAAATCGCTCTCCATTTGTCCTTTCCTCTTTTCATCTTTTGCCCTCGATATCTGGACCACCTGGAAAACCTGGAAACACCTTTCTGTCCCTCTGGCTGCTAATATAAAGTGCGTCCTACTGTGCATGAGTCAAATTTCCCAAACTTTTGACAGTTAGGAACCAAACCAGATGTTGCGAAATTCAGCAAAACAGATGTTCTGACACACATTGTTTTCACCTGCTCTATTTCATCCCTCAGCTAAGTTTAAAAAAGTGAATCTTTCTTCCTCTGAGTTGAAAAACTTATTGAAGGAACAAAGAGAGCAATATATTGTAACATATCTGCAACTTATGACACAGTAGTGCCAGTAATTCATTGGTCAGTTTTTCATTGTGCAGAAATGTTGTCAAACTTCAGTTCAATGATATCCCACAATGGGACTAATGCACCAGCTTTGTGTAGATGCATAATGTATGCAGAAATGATTACATGTTAAAGGTTTACTCCAGAGGCTCCAGTATTACACTACAATATAGCTGGAGGGCCCACAAGAGCCTGGAGCCATGCTAGTGGGTCTGTGAGGCTGTACTAAGCACAGCAGTGCTTTGAGTTGAAACATGCTAACGTTTAGCAGGTATGATTTTCAGTATGTTAATCATTTTATTTTGGTGGTTAGCATCCTAATGAGGCTGATGGGGACGTCTTTAGTTTTGCAGGTATTTTATAGTATTGGGCAAAACATTTTTTGGGTCTTTTCATTGACTTTTTAATGGATAGTGACAGGAAAGAGGTAGAGAGAAGGAATGACACGCAGCAAAGGGCCACAGGTTGGACTCGAATCCCCGGCTGCTGCGTCAGGCATTCAGCCTTAGCACATCCAGCTTCACCAGGTGAGCTATCCAGGTGCCTTGGACAAGCTAAAACTTTGAGCAGATGATGACACTTGATTAATTATTAAGGGATCACCAATGTTATTTCAGTTCACTCTGAGTGATACTTGAATGACTGTACCAATTTTCGCGACAGTCCATCCAATAGTTAGATATTTCACCCATGATCACAAATGTCAACCTGATGATGGTGCTAGATGAAAGTCATGAATTGCCAAAGTCATTAGGAATGATCCTTGGGAATCATG